TTTTTCAACAGCCATCTTGGACCATAAAGTGACCTTGGGATTGAAAAGCATGAAAGGCAGAGGGACAAGATATGAGAAGCCTGGCACTGTCCTATCAGCCTGGACCACCTGCCTCTGGACTGTCATTTGGGACAGCAAGAATTTCTGTTCTTACTTAAACCACTGTACTTGGGGGTTTCTTTCACTCCCATCTGAACCTGATGCCACTGGTTTGAACAGGTAGGGAAATACAGTCTTGAATTTAAAATCAACTGTGGGCTGGATAATTGAAACTGTGTAATCCATATGTGGATAACAACTGCTGGCCATATTATATTAGGACTTTAATATAATAACAGTTCCAGATTCCTTCTGCTCAGATGAGATAAGCACCCAGGTCCTGCTTCTTGTCTTCCACATAACTGAGGTACACGATTCAAGAGTCTGTGAGACCTGTTTTCTCCTGAAGAAGCACAGCCACAGACATGTGACTGTCCAGCCTTCCTCCTCCTGCGGGGACAGAGGCCACTGCACTTGCGGGCCATCACTGGAATCAGTGTACAGACTCTTTGACAACTACAGCACTGGCTAAGGCCACCAGGGGAGGAAAGGAGGGTACCACAAAGATCCCTTGGAGACAATTCCTGGGGTATGGAGGGGAGCACCAAGACAACTCCACACAGCTATGTGTCTGTCACATGGCTCTCTCCTCCCTCTGTCCCCACCAAACTCCAGACTGGGCGCAGTGCTACCATGGCTGAGATGCTTTATGGTTGGACTAGAGGCCCGATGCATGAAATTCATGCAAGAATAGGCCTTCCTCCCCCTGGCTGCCGGCACCGGCTTCCCTCTGGCCACTGACAGGCACCCTTCCCTCGCAGCCCCGGCTTCGTCCAGAAGGTCATCCGGTCTAATTAGCATATTATACTTTTATTATTATAGATGATAAAAGGTTACAGGAATATGTTGTATGTGCTAGAGGTAAAATGGACATGGTACCTCATGATCCAAGTCTCTTCTGTTTGGCTCAACATAGCTCCACCTCACTTCTTAGCCCTCAGGCAGGCCATTAGTCTCAAAAGCACGCTTAAATGACAAACAACTTTTCCTCCTGACACTGCTTCTCTGCTTTTCATTGTCTTTCTTCTTCATTCAAGCCAGTGATCTGAATGCCTGAAACTTTAGTTCCCAAGAGTTCCTCTTAGCTAGAGGTAAAACTTTTCTTGAGTCCTTGTTATAATGCAAATATGTGACATGAAAGGGTACCTGTTTAATCCATTACTCCACTGACAGGAGCTAGTTTACCATATTAGCTAACTAATGTCTAGGGCAGTGATGGCGAACCTTTTGAGCTCGGCGTGTCAGCATTTTGAAAAACCCTAACTTAACTCTGGTGCCGTGTCACATATAGAAATTTTTTTATATTTGCAACCATAGTAAAACAAAGACGTATATTTTTGATATTTATTTTATATATTTCAATGCCATTTAACAAAGAAAAATCAACCAAAAGAATGAGTTTGTATGTCAGCTCTGACACGTGTGTCATAGGTTCACCATCACTGGTCTAGGGAAATACAAGATAAGAAATTAAAACAACCTGGGGAAATAAACTAGTGTATGGTCTGTTTAATCACTGAAAAGGGGTTACTTATTGAGCCCCTATTACCCCCTGTATAACGCATTAGCACTGGCTAAGGCCGCCCGGGGAGGAAAGGAGGATACCACAAAGATCCCTTGGAGACAATTCCTGGGGTAGGGAGGGGGCACCAAGACAACTCCACGCAGCCAGCCCAAGAGGCTGGAACCTCAGGGCTTGACCTCCCCGTTGTCATGCTCTCCTCTGGTGCATGGGTTCTGTCAGAAGAAGGTAGGAGTGCACCCAACCAACGGGGGAGAGCCAACAGGTTCATTCAGCCGTGGGACACTGGGACATTTGCCCACTGGGCTATTGGACAGATTGCTTTTTGTAACTCTTTTAGGTTTCGGAAAAATAACACGTATCCTTCATTCACGAGTCTGCCATGCACCGTTGTTTTCTTGGACATCCCTTGATTCAGCTTGGCTTCTTCCTCAAACTCCTCAAAAGACATTTTCTCCCCATTATAGGAACTTCCAGATCCTCTGTCTTCATGTAGGGGTTTATTTTTGATACTATCACTGGCTGATGTTTTTAATATGAGACAATGTTATTTGAAATCCTACTTATCATTTAGTCCTACTTATAATTAGTATAACATGTGGTGTGGATTTGTTATAACAGTTAACTAACAAGAAAGCAATTAGAAATATGTTGGTTGTGACCATTTGTGTTAATGCTTCTATCAGACTAGGCTAGTCACTTACTTGTTGCTTATTAACATGGAATTCTTGACATTTATTAGGGTGGTTTAAAAAAATCCCATGGTATTACTTAACTTATTTTATAAATTTTGAATTTCAATATAGAGCAGGTTTAATTAACAATATCTTGTCTTATAATCAACTAATAAAATTTTGATTAACATGATGGTTCTTAAATGACAGAAATGCAAATATTCAGATTCACACATTTCCTGATTGTTCTTTGTCAAAGACATTAGTTGATACTTGGTTAGAAGAAGAACATATTTAGATTTGCTTAGTTGCTATGACTGGAAATAGTCTATGGTTATAAAATATTGTGAGGACATGTTGCAACACTTAGTCCAGAGAAAATAGGAACATTGGGATTATCAGAGTGCTAAAAAGTATCTACTCAGTCCCTCTTGTGGAATAAAGATAAATAACCACTGGACATGTGGAGTCTCATTCAGCCTTGAAAGGGGTGAACTTCTAAAAGGTCTGTGACGATCTTATCGATTGGTCAACCCAGGAGCCATTCTCAATGCCATTTGTCCTACTACCTCATGCCACATTCTTTCCCACCATCCTTTGCAGCTGGGCTTGGCCTTATGATGGGTTCTCAACAGTGACATGTAAGGTGATGTCCTGGCAGTGGTTTCCGGAGGAGTTTTGACTCTTCCTTATATTCTGTGCCTTGAATGTGGATGGGGTTCCCGGGGTGACAGAATCAATCTACAATCAGAGGCAGCACGCATGAGGACTGACAGCCAGGGCTTTTGATAGCATTGTTAAGCGGATCTACCTCTTTTGTTGGGTAGAGCCGCTCTTTTAATTAAATAAGATGATTGAATTACTTTATTACTTTAATAATGGCTAGTTTTGTTGTTATTATTTGCAGTCATAGCAGTTTATTCACATAGTTCTCCACCAGCTGAAGGTGCATCTACACTTAGGTGAAGACCAAGCCAGCTATCAGAAATGTGACGAAACTTACTTCCAAGACAGTAACCTACAGCAGCACGTGCCAAAGCACTTTCGGTGGTGACGGAGCTGTTCACGTGGGCTATACAGGATGTGTGGCCACTGAACACTTGAAACGTGGCCGGTGCAATTCAAGAAATAAAGCTTTAATTTTATGTAGTTTTAATTAATTTAAAATGAAACGGAAATAGTTACATGTAGCTACCAGCTATTGGGCTGAACAGCACAGATCAATAGAATGGCTAGTCTAGTTAAAAAACAAACAAACAAACAAACAAACAAAACCTATGGAGATTATGCAGTTCTCTGGGAGAAAATTCAGCCTTTAAGTTTATGTATGTTGTCTTACAGGCCCAAGAACACCTCGTTATGGAGAAATGATGGCTCATGGGGGCTTTACACAGCTTAGTGTTTGAAGGCTGTTAAACAATATTTAACTTGCTTATTAGCTAACTATGCGGAACTGATACCAATTTAAGCATTTTACATTGACAACTACAATAAAGGCTGTCTTTCTGGAATAATAATCTTATTGAGACTACGCTCATTCAGCTGTTTGTCAAGTCTTTTGTATTCCCAATTACAAATGAAAAGAATAATAATGGTGTGCCAGTCTCATTAAGCTATGGGAGCATAATAACTCTCTGAGATAAACTGTAAATTACAGTTTGCGAAGACTGCTGGGTAGACTAGAAAATCAGCCAAAAAGTGAAGCAATGTGGTGCTAAGAGCCGTGAGACGCTGAGAACTGGCAGCTGAAGGTCCTCCCTTAAAAAGGCAAGAGCGGCGGATACCGATCATCCCAGAACCCAGAACTCCGTGGGGCTCTTGTGCCCTAGGACATGGGTTCCAAGACTGCCTGCCACACCCACATGTGATGCAGAAATGATGCCATCATGCCTCGGTGTCTTACACACAGTAAATGATCAGCATGCTGGCATTCATAGCCCCTTTAGAGCCCGAGGAAGAACTAATTCTGCAAGTGTGCCTGGTGGCCCAGAGCTGTTAAAGTTATCACCTCCCCTATCTCCTGGCAAGGATCTCGGTCACAGACAGCTTCTCCATCACAGTTACTTCCGCCTGCTGAAAACAGCTCAGCAAAGTCCCTGTGGCTGCGAAGCTAGGTTATGCATACTTTTAAGAAATAGCTGACAAGCCAAACTTACTTCGGAGACAGGACAATCTATAAACAGGGTTCTAGCAGAAATAATAAAGAAAATGAGTTGAAGACTTTGGCAAGTCATATGTACTTAATCTCTTTGATTATTTGGTGTAACAATTATCCGATTTAAAAAGCATTCAATTCAAGAAAGCCAGCACCCCACCCACATTTCTAACAAAGAGTAGTTGCACAGGAGCTTCTGGAGATAATTACTAGAGAAACTGGATTGATTCCAAGTTGATTTTTTTTCTCAGAGAACTATTTATTTATACTCAGTATTATTTCCATGTTGTATTGACTAGTACTCACTTCTCATCAGTTTGCTTTGCAATTCCTTTGCAAACACCTATGTTTCTTCATAGGTTCTGCTCTGATCCACTTATTTTATGGTAGCTTCCAATGTCTAAGAAGATAAAGGTTACCACGTGTGAGAGGTGAAGACCCAGTCTTGATTGTGAAGGCATAGCCATGGTCTGTGGGAACACATCTTCTGAAAGAAGATCTCATGGAGAAAATATCTCAGCTAAAGATGCATCAAGACATAAATTCTTACCTATGATGTGACTCTGAAATGCAGAATCTACAACTGTATCTTCTTCATCCTCTTGCAGGTTTTCAGTTGTCTCTTTTACCTGCAGCAACAAAAAATTACTCTAAGTTCTATTTATTATGTTAAGTAGATCATTTGCCATCCTCAGAATAATCTCTAACATGTTAGTATGTGTACGTATATGTGTACGTATACATATATATATATATGAGGCCCAATGCATGAAATTTGTGCAAGAGTAGGCCTTCCTTCCCCTGGCTGTCAGCACTGGCTTCCCTCTGGCACCCAGGACCCAGGCTTCCATTACAGCCCTGGCTTTGTCTGGTAGGTCATCAGGAAGGATATCCTGAAGGACATCTGGTCTAACTAGCTTTTATTATTATAGATATATTATATATATTCTTTCCCTTCCACTTTTCCCCATTCTATCTCTTGGCTTTATTTCTAGTACAAGTTTTAATTATAAAAGCATATTTTCCAAAATATAACCATAGCTCTGAAAATGAGAATTTACAGGGCACCTAATTCTAGATAAGACTTTGCAGATACCAGCTTTGGGTTTTAATACTTAATAAAGTCAGTAACACATAGCTGTAAGGAAAAATTAAAGTCTAAGGAAATATAATATTCCTCCAGAGTCAGTGGCTTCCACTACAAATTTTAATAAGAGTAAAGAAATATACTTAGATAACCTGACCCTTTCCAAGACTATAACTCTCTAAGAAAATGATATATTTTTTTGTTCTTTGCACAATGAATGATGAAGTGACTATGACACGTGCTCAGTGAACTAGAGCAGCGAGGCATTTATCTAGAGTTTCCAGGTCAAAAACATTTCCCATATACTTCTGCTGGAATACCCAGATGCTGAATGGCATGGATCAGATGGTACCCTAGAGAGCGTCTACTAACACTACAGGCTTTTACAAATGAGGATTCTGAGACCCAGCAAGTTTCCTTAAACATGTTTTAAGTGGCAACACTGGAACGAAAACCCGGGCCCACTACTTCCCAATCTAGCAGCACCAGTAATAATATCATCATCTACAACACCAACAATGATAAAAACAGTGAACTACTGAACACTCTGTAGCAGGTGCTCTTCACACCCATGATCTCACAGGCCTCAAGGCAACAGGAGGAGGCAAGTGCTACTGTTAGTTCCATTTTAGAGATAAGGGTCCTGGAGAAACAGACAGAACGAGTGACTACACAAGTGACGGGACTGAGATTCAAACACAGCAACTCTGGTTTGAGATGTGTGTTTATTTGGGGGTACTGTTTTATTCTCAGATTTCTGTTTGAGTATAGACTTGGCCTCAATATCAAGACGGCTTATGGTCCTTGGCAAAATGACCCGGAATAGCTTTTTAAAAATACACCCCAGCCAGTCACCTGGGAAGCCAGTAATAATAAGGTGAACTGTGCAATGAGTGCAAAGGGGGTTCTGCTTAGGCACATATGAGAGGGTGCCGGTAGATTTGCTCAGGGGCTCGAGTTGAATGCCAAGAAACCCTTAATGTTAATAGTCATGATGTAGAAAGTCATATGGTTGCATCCTGACCTTGAGCTGAGTTTAGCTTTCTACTTTTTACCTCCTATTTTTCATATTTAATGGAATAAGAACAATTACTTACATTTTATGACTACAGTGTTAATGTTAGAATGTAATTGGTGCTTAATCGGTGCATGCTGACAGCCAGAAAATGGCAAACTCAAGATAGGGTGCGGATGGCCACCTGAACCCACAGCAGAGCTGTTAGGGTGGAATATCCCAGAGGCCAGGTTTCATCACTTTCTTTCCCATCCTGTCTGCTCTGCAGGGATTTCCCTGTGTGTTGGCATTTCCAGAGGGAGAATGTTGGGGTAACTGTTTCTAGCAGAGCACATTTAGGATGGCAGAGAGGAAAAGTGCTCTGAGCATCACTGAGGCCAACAGGTTACTTATTTTCCTTCTGAGGTTCACTGAGCTCAGTGATCCTTTCGTGACAAGGCCACCAAAAGACCCACTGACGGATTCCCCAAGCCCCGTAATTAATAATCCAACAAGAACCATCTGTCTTTATTTATAGAAACAGCAAGGAAAACAAATTTTCAGCACATGCCAGTTCTTATGGCAATATGCTCCATATTTTCCTCCACCTGTTAGGTCATGTTCCTTTAGGTGTTTCTAAAGTGCCCCATTTTAAACTTAAAGGGGTGCCCTGCTAACCTACCTGCTGTGGTGTAGGTGAATCATCTCCATCAGCCTATAAAATTCTAAACCAAAGAATCTAATAATTAGAACCAGATCTTCATTTTATAGTTTAAAAAAAGGCTCAGAGAGGGCTAGTGATCTGTTCCGGGGCACATAGGATTTCAGTTTTAGCGTGAGCACTCCTTATCCCTATTCATTGCTATAACTCAATTTTTCAGAGTGCACCGTATTGTTATTGCCATCCTTTCCAGACCTTCCCAAGAGTGACTATGTTTTTCTTAGTGTCTGACAGTTAGATATGTAAGCAGCATTCCAAGTATACATAAACTACACTTATTTAAGAGTAGCAAAAATTTCCATGAGGGTGTCTGCGCGTGTGTGTATGTGTGTGTGTGTGTGTGTGTGCGTGTGTGTGACTGCCCTGCTTTCCTTCCCTACTGACCTTTCTGTGGAACTTACCCATCATCTCTCTCCAAGTACCATATTTAAGAGAGACAACAGAAGCCACCTGTCAGCTCCTTGTCAGAACCTCCCAGGGTTTTATGTGCTTAACAGCAAATGCTAAATGTGGTCTGTGGGGATTTATCAGATAAACTGGGCTTGCAGACAAGGCCCCTTGTTCTTTCAGGTCTCCTGGACTAATGACCCATGAGGAGCAGATGACCCCTGAGAAGGAATTTTGAGTTTGAATCTGATAGATGGAGAATCAACAAAGGAATGTAAAATGGGGGTGTGTCTTAAAATGGCATACCTGTCAACTCTATCCATACCAACAGATTTCAATGCAAAGTGGTGAGTTACTAGAAAATTCCATTTGCCTATGGCAATGAGGGGCATAATTTGTTTTGGTAGCAGACTCCCCTTGTTAATTACATTTTTTTCGTAGCCAGAAATTAACATTAACTTTCATTCATGGTCACACAGTGCTTGAAGCTGATGAGAGGTTGTGGGAAGCTTCCTGGGGGTAAGGGACTGCCTACTCCAGATTCAAAATTTTCCAGAGATGGACACAAGAGGAACAACTCCACATGGCAAGGCATTTCAAAGATGGGAGTGCTCACAAAACCAAGATGTTTGGCTCAGAAAAGAATGGTGGTTAGAGATTTAGAAATTTCTCAGACATTACTCTACCAGGAACAGATATAAATTGGTAATGTCCCATTTGGTAAGAAGTAGAAGGTGACTCAAAGGCAATAACTACAGGATATTTTTGGATTAAGTTTGTTGTCGGTACTTGGATGTCTTCTAATAGTGAATCTCCAACTCCTTTGGGCTCAGTTGTAGTTAAGAATTGTACCAACACCAGTCTATAGCAGGTAACCATTAAATATCAGGGTGCCCATTATAATCTGTTAATCCCTATCATCAGAAAACGCAAGGAGGAATGAACTTACAAAAGACATGGGGAAAAGCGAGAAAATAATTCACTACTGACAAATATACAAACATAATTTTAGAATTAAACCCGATACTTGGGGATGGCTTTCTTTTGGAATTCTGCATATACTTCTTCTCTGAGCCATCCTAACACTCATTGTTTCCTAAGAAAATGACATGTGGATGGTAAAGCTCTTTGTAAAGGAAAACAACACAGTGAAGCTCAGTGAAACCGGAAGGGACCTGTGGAGGCGGAACTCCTGGAAGGCATTGTCTTTAGAAAAGTTAGTTGTTTAGATAACTTTGCAGGAGGAGGGCAAATACGCATGGCTCTTATTGGCATCAAAACAGCATTTAGAACAGAACTGCTGTTAAGTATGTTGCAATGATAACATTTTGCAGAATTTAAGATTATAATTTGTATAATTATTGTGCTATTTTATCACCACTGGATGTTTCCACGGGATAAATTTTGATGTTTTATTAGTATGTGCTGCTTTTTTTT